AGTTTTCACCAGTCTGTGCCAATGTGATACGACCAATAAACCTGTTCTTTGAGGAACCTACTTGCCTTGGAGTTCTGTTTGCTCTGGGTGTATTACTTGGAATCCTGACCATTTATTTACTAAATAAATGAAAGGTTCTAGTTTGGGATTTAAAAATACCAGGAGAAATTCCTTCCCAGTTATTTCCCCTGGGTGAGGAGGACGCCACCACTGGCTGAGGCTTCCCATAGCTTACCGATGGATTCCTCGAAGGCGAAAAGGACTTCTTTGCCGCTGTCCACGAGATCCTTCACCCTGCTGCCGATCCATTTGAAGCCAGGGAGGGTCTCCTGAAATGAGACAGGGATTAGATGCTTCTTTCAGAGGGACTGCACTGGGGGCTCACGCTCAGCTGCGAGCCAATTTCACCCAGGGATTCGGTCCACCAGACCTTGCCCAAAACTTCTGATGCTAAGCAAGATGCTGGTGAAGCGAACTTTGCCCCATTTTGTGACTTTCCTTTGCTGTCGTTGTTAAGTGAATCACTGCAGTGGTTGATAAGATGGTTGTTAAAAGTGAATCTGACTCCCCTGTGGTCTTCGCTTCTCAAAAGGTCGCAAAAGGGGGTCACGTAACCCTGGGACACTGCGACCTTTGTAAACATGTAAGACCGTTGCCAAGTGTCTGAATTTTGATCATGTGACCGTAGGGATTCTGCAACAGTCGCAAGTGTGAAACACGGTCCTTAGTCACTTTTTTTCGATGTCGTAACTTTGAACGGTCACACCATGAACCGTTATAAGTCCAGGACTACCTGTATTTATCAAATTTATCTGCAACCTTAAACCTCTGGACATGTATATTGACTTGAGAGTTCAGCCAGGCCTCCTCCCTCCAAACAAACAGAGCCAGTCTTCGACTAACGGCCACAAAATTGAGCCCACAATTTCCACTGCTAAGCAAGACAGCTGTTAAGCGAGTTTTGTCCCATTTTACGACATTTTATGACCTTTCTTAACAGTTGTTAAGTGAATCCGTGCCGTTAGTAACACAGTTAAGTCAATCTGGCTTCTCCATTGACTTTGCTGGTCAGGAGGTTGCAAAAGGGGATCGGATCACTTGAACCCAGAAAGCAGCACGGGTAATTAAGCCAGGATGGGGACTGGGGGGGTGGAGCTGCCCTACTACTTACCTTTGGACAGGTGTAGCCAGGCCTCGCACACCCTGTGCTCTCCAGACAGTATATGGTTGATTGGGAATTGGGAGCTGTCCCCTTAAGGGAACGCCTCATGGGAAACGTAGTTCATGCCTTATGGGAAATGTAGTTCATGTCATGTGGTCGCATCTGTAATCCTGATTGGTCACTGAATTGACCCTGGGTTGGGTTGGGGGAGTTTCCTTTCTTCTTGCTTGGACCCCAGCATCGTGCTGGTGTCTCGCCCTTGGCTCCATCGTTACGGGATGAAGATCACTACACTTTCACACTATGAAGTCAGCTATGCAAAGATTTGGACATTAGATGGAACTCGACATAACTCTGGGTTATACCTTGAGGATGCCTTGTGATCCAATAAAGAAACTTTGTATGGAAACCTTTGTGGAGTTTTAACTGCTTATTTTGGGCATCCTTTGGAAGAGAAACATTGCCTAAGACAAGACACACCCCGACACCTGCCTTGTCAGCCCATTCCTTCTACTGGCAAAGATTTCCTGAGGGCCTCTGTAGCTAATAACAAATCTCTGCATGGATCCACAGCTTTTTTGTTATAGCCCTTCAGGGAAGCCTTGCCAGCTGCAGAAGAAGAAGTTCCAGAAGATCCTCTGAGAGCGAAAAGGAGGCCGGGGGCAACGCACACAAGTGAGGTTAGTCAGTGGAGGACATCCCCCGAAAATAAGACCTGGTGGCAAATATATATATATATACATATACATATACATATACATATACATATACATACATACATACATACATACATACACACACACACACACACACACACACACACACACATATATATATATATATATATATATATATATATATATATATATATATAAATAAAAGACAGGGCCTTATTTTGGGGGGAACACGGTAGATAGATGTCCTCTTAATGGGGACATGAAAGGAGCCCCCAGCTAGGCCTTCCCGGGCCATGGTGATGTCACTGTTCAATCCTGTCAACCCAGAAGAGTTCCGGTGCTCCCAACAACGTAGTAGGAATAAGGATGATCAACGATCAGGATTGAGGGACCCTCCTCAAAACCTCTTGGAGGCCCGAGACCCCACTTGGAACACGGCACCAAAGAGGAGGCCCTGGACAACACTCACTTCAAAATTAAATCCTTCCTTGAGAGCGATGGCCCGCAGAATTTTGGAGGAGACGGTGGTGGCCAGCATGTAAACGTTCTTCACGTCGGCTTCCTTGGGACGATTTTCCTTCCAACAAGTAAACATCCACCAGCCAAATAAGGCGGCCAGCTCGTTGCCGGTGAAGACTTTCCAGCGGCCACTGGGGGGAAATGAGACAAGATTAAAAGCTTAACCAGGTTAGTCCCCGACTTAAGACCAGAATTGGGAGCTGAATTTCCATGGCTAAGCCAAGCGGTTAAGTGAGCTGCGCTGGGTTTTACGACTTTTTCTGCCACGATGGTTAAGGGAATCCACTGCAGGTATTAAATGAATCGCATGGTCATGAAGTGAACGCGGTTTTCATTGGGTTTGCGTATTGCAAATGGCAAGCATGTGACCGAGTGCTGGATTTTAATCACAGGACCTTGGGTGGCAGTTGTAAGTACAAGGACGTAATTTTGAAAAGATGGGTCGTATGTGGAGGGCCACCTGTTCTAAATGAACCCATTTTTCTGGAGCAGCAGATGACAATTTCTCAAGCGAGCTCTGCGTAACATGTTAGGAAACAACAAACAGGGTTCAAATGGATCTGCATAATTATAATCAAATGATCAGATGATGAAACCGTGATTGAAGTTTTAGTTTCTATTCTCCAAAGCACCTGAAGGCAGGACAAGAGGTAGCAGATGGAAAACTTATCAAAGAGAAAAGCAACCTAGAATTAAGGGGGAATTTCCTGACAGCGAGAACCATTAATCAGTGGAACAACTTGCCTCCGGAAGTTGTGGTTGCTCCAACACTGGGAGTTTTCTAGAAAAGACGGGACAGCCATTTGACTGACATGGTAGAGGGCTGTGGGGGCAGGCAGAGCCCTCCCTGTACTCCAGCTCAGCTCCACCCTGCAAGAGCACACGCCAGCTGGTCTTCAGGCCTCTGCTGTGCACATGTGCACATGTGTGTGTGTGTGTTGCATTTGGGGTATGTGCGCGCGTTGTAAACCCGAGCCAGTTTTAAGTGTGAAAATGGCCATGTCACATTTTTTCATTGATGCTGTAACTTCAAACCATCATTAAACGAATGGTTGAAGTTAAAGACTAGCTATATTTGATTGGATGAGTGTGACATTTATGTGCCGCTATAAGCTGCCCAGAGTCACTCTAGATAGTGAGATATAGGCAGCATAGAAATTACATAAATAAATGGTTCTTTCCCACAGACTCGCAGAGAGCAGCCCAGCCGGCTTCTCCTGGTGGGGTTGTGATGCTCTTGGCTCAGAAGAGGGAGTTATGGCAAGGCCAAGCCGCAGGAACCTCCAGCCACTCACATTTCCTGTCGTTCGGCCACCGCTAGCCTGTCCGCATCAGGATCCGTCGCCACGACCACTCGCGCTCCCTCTTTCTCCGCCAGCCGCAAAGACAGTTCCTGGAAAAAACGTTCGTGGTCGCCATTCAAACGAGCCGATCCGAGGGTTGATCCCAGCTGATCTACTTGGAGAAGACCATTCCCCCAACCCCCCATTCCTGGGGCCTGCAGAAGCACCACGGGGGCAAAAACCTACCAGCACCGATTCTCCTTCTTCGGGATTGGGACATTTGACGGTGGAAAAATCTGGATCCGGATCCTTTTGTTCGGGGACTGGAATGGGGGGCTGGAAGCCAAAGGCCTGGAAAGCCAGCTGCACGTAGTCGTGTCCCACCCCGTGGAAAGACGTGTGCACAAATTTCAAGGGGGTCTTTGCGTTCAGCTCTCTGTGGTGGAAAACAGCAGGAAGAAAGCGTTAAAGGCAGGCGTGGGATTCAAATTTCTTAACCAGTTCTGTGGGCATGGCCTAATTTGTGGGTGTGGCTTGGTGGTCATGTGACTGGCTGGCCATGGCTTGTATGTAAATATTATAAATATTTGGGTAAATATTGAGTTTTTCATTAAAAAAATATAGCAACTTTCACCCAAAATCAGGCAAAGCAGGGAGGCCGATTGAGTTGCTCGCAGAATCACAGATTCATTCAGAGATCTACCTTTCTGCCATCTGCTACCTGAGTCTGCACTGAAAAATAGAAGCTTTGGTCCTAAGGAAGGTTCAGCTCTGCTTTTAGATTAGCTAGAAAGCAAGAAATCCAAAGATTTCCTGGTTTCTAGCTAAATTAGTGTTTTCTATCCAGAGGGGAGAATTCACGTGAAACAGGGCCAATGACAGGCTGAGAAACAGATTTCCTTCTGTCTTGGCTGCAGAATTGTAGGCTGAAATTTGAAGGCAACCATGCTCTTCTTCTTTTACCACCTGTAGGTTCATTTAATGATTGTTCAAAGTTACAACAGCACTGAAAAAACTGGCTTATGACCATTTTTCACGGGTACGACTGTTGCAGAATCCCCGTGATCCCGTGACAAAAATTCAGATTTTTGGGCAACTGCTTCATATTCATGGCAGTTGAAGCATCATGACTGAATCAGATAGCTTTCTAATTGGGAACACGTAACCCTGGTGAGCAAGGACCAATCTATCATTTATAACATGATAACAAGAAGGAAAGGGGCCCAGTTTGGTGTAGTGATGAAGGCACCAGACTAGAAAACAGGAGACCATGAGTTCTAGTCCCACCTCAGGCAAGACGTAGCCCAATGTAGTAGAGCAGGGGTCCCCAACCGCCGGTCCGTGGACCGATACCGGTCCGCGGAACAAGTCTTACCGGGCCGCTGGTTGCTGGGCGCCGCCATCTTTTTTTGGTAAAAAAGTGCTTCCGGTGAGCTTTTGCTTCGGGTAACGTCACCGGAAGCACTTTTTCGTCAAAAAAAGACGGCGGCGCCCAGTTGATACCGGTACCGGGCCGCGGCGCCCAGCTGATGCCGGTACCGGGCCGCGGCGTCGAAAAGGTTGGGGATCACTGTAGTAGAGTAGAGGTAATGACTTCTCATCCTACCTTAGGCATCGAAGTGGGAGACATTAGGCCAATCACCAGGAGAGAGTGATTGACCCAAAAATGGGCCAATGATGAGAAGATAGTGAGTTCTAGTTCCTCCTTAGGCAACAAGTGGGCCAATCTCACCTTAGACACAGAAGTGCCCTCTCTCTCTCTCTCTCTCTCTCCCTCTCCCTCTCTCCCAGCACAACACCTCACAGGGTTGATGTTGTGAGAATAATAGAAGGAGGAAGGAGTATTGGGTATATTCGACACTTAAGTTAAAAATGTGATTAATAAAAAAGAGGAAGTGTCATGAAACCATACAGAGAGGGTGTTGGAAATGCAAAACCAGGCAGTTTCTGTTACTCAATTCACAGTTTTATTCATTCCTTAAAATATTATCTAATCTTGGTGTCCACTGCTGCAGATAAATGCACCTTCCTTCTTACATTTCTCCTTTTCAAAATGTGGGAATTGTGCCAACAGGAACAGCCACGGATAGGGTGGGGTATCTTACCGGTGGTAGCAGATCTTTTTCAGGTCCTCCATGTAGCTTGCAGAGATGTTTTGCAGAGGGTCTCGAGTGAGAGGGCTGCAGTCCACCAGATTTTCGTTCCAGGAGTCGTTCCACGGCTCCACGCATTCTTCGATGCATTTCAGGATCTCTTTATCGTGTGGGGATGTGATCTGAGCGCCGTTTTCCCAGTAGACCTGCAGTGAGAGTTCACCAAAGTGAGGAATCTGCTTAACAGTCAAGCTGTGGGAAGAGATACGCAGCCCTCAACTTACAATTTACAACAACTAACAACAACTATTCTCGAAAGCAGACCCTGTTCATGTGGTAATTTTGGAAGGCTGTGGAAGCTGTGCTACAATGGGGTGTGCTCTCATACAGTCTCCAGATACTCCGGAGGTCACGTGAGAGGGCTATGCGCTTGCCGAAAGCACCAAGGACGCCTCATTTTCCAAACTTTTGACACAATGAACCCAAAAGGTTCACCATCACTGACCTAGAGAGGGAAAATGTTGCAAACCAATTAATCAAATCAGGCATCTACAAAGTTTGCTGACCTACCTTGTAGCCATTGTCTTCTTTACGGTTGTGGGAAGCTGTAATCATCACGCCTGCAACCGCTCTGAGCTGCTGGACAGCATACGGCTGCAAAACAAAATGTATTTATTTATATTTAATATTTCTAAGCCCCCATCTCCTTCAGAGAGCCTGGATTCTACCTGTGCTGGTTAAGACAGTATATAGTTGGAAATGGGGGCTGTCCCCTTAAGGGAACGCCTCATGGGAAATGTAGTTAATGCCTCATGGGAGATATATAGTTCAGGTCATGTGGTCACATCTGTACTCCTGATTGGTCACTGAATTGACCACTGGTTGGGTTGGGGGGGAGTTTTCTCTTCCTTTTTACTTGGACCCAGCAACGTGCTGGAGTCTCCCCTAGCTGTATCATTATGGGATGAAGATAACTATCTTTTCACGCTATGAAGGAGACGATGCAAAGACTGGACATTAGATGAATCTCAACAAAACTGTGAGTTATATCTTGAGGATGCCTGATATAATCCAATAAAAGAAATTTTGCATGGAAGCCTTCGTAGTGTTTAACTCCTTATATCTCAGGCATTTTGAGAAGATAAATATTGCCTGAGACAAGAACAATACCTAAAATCGCGTGCGGTTGACCAACATCACCCAGGCTGAGCCCCTAGAAGGAACATCAAGCACTCCAAGCACCTGTATAGCTGCTACAAGAAAAAAACATTTGGAGCCTTGGAGTCAAAGCCACTTTTTGAAAAAAAAAAAAAAAAAGATCATTTTACTTAAAATAAGGAAAATAAAATAAACCTTTTTAAATGGCAGGTGCACGAAGATAACTTGGCATTGCTGTTATGTTAAAACAGCACACCCAGATGTACAAAAGCGTTCCTTGCCCACACAAAAGTGATAAAAAATGTTTCACAGATGCCCAACCGCTGTTCAGTTTTAGAAAAGCTAAATTCTCCAAATTATTTCACTCTGAGGAAGGCAAGGCTTAAATTGTGCAGGATTGTCAACGCGCAGAACTGGATCCGGAAAGGGGCAGCTCACAGATATAATAACCCAGGAGAAATAAGTTTGCCAGTGCAGGGAGTCCTTGACTTACGACCCACAAATGAGCCCAACGTTTCCGCTACTAAGCAAAACAGTTGGGAAGTGAGTTTCGCCCCATTTGACAACAGCTGCTGAGTGAATCACTGCAGTTGTTAAGTTAGCAACGTGGTTGTTAAACGAATCTGGCTTCCCCTTGTTGACTTGGCTTGTCGACCCCGGGACACTGCAACCGTCATAAATGGGAGTCATTTGCCAAAGTGACTGAAGTTACGGCCGTTAACTGAGAAACGGCCATAAGTCACTTTCTTTCAGTGCAGCCGTGACTTCAAGTGGTCACTAAACAAACTGTTGTAAGACGAGGACAACCTTTCAAATTGTCTCTGACTTTGTCTACAGGTTGCAGCCAAGACAGGCAACAGAAACTGCACGTTGAGCTAGTGGTATATACAACTCTTGGGATTACAGTTTAGCGGTTGAATTTTCACCTTTTGGGAAATCACTTGATTCAAAAAGCAGTAATTAATTGTGAAACACAGAGCGGAGAAGGAAGTGGAAAAGGCCAGATATATCCATTTTTCCCCACCAAGCAATTGGTCAAGGCAGTCCTTGCCTTACGACGGGTTGCTTAGCAACTGTTTCAAGTTATGACTGACCTCTCACGAGCTTTTTACAACCCGGTTTCCAAATTCTAACGGCTACCACCCTCCATGCAGTCGCATTTCAGGCGCTTGGCCAGCAGCCAACATTTATACAGCTGTGTGCAACACCCCACGGTCACGCAATGGTGATTCACAATGTCTTTTGCAGGAAACAGCCGAGTTCGCTTAACGACCATGGCATTCGAGGAAACAGCTGAGTTCGCTTAACGACCATGGCATTCATTTTAACAATCCGTAGTGTTCATTTAGTGACAGTTAATGGCTGCTGCAAAAGAGGTTGTAAAACCGGGCGCTTAACAACTGGCATGACATACAACCAGGATTCTGGGCTCAGCTATGGCTGTAAGTTGAGGACTATCGCTGTGATTTTCAGCCATATTCTAGACGCTGCCCCATAGCCTAAGAAAGTGGGAGGGGAGTGATTTCCATTGAGTAGTTCTAAGTAGACCAAATAAGGTTCTTTTCCTAGTTCAAGGTCATTAAGCGTGGCGCAACATGGAAAAAAGGATCTTACACCGAGACAGATCGTGATTGGTCCATGGGATGTGATGATGGGAGAACAGGGGATGATGGATTGTAGCTTGGGACATTGTGCGAAGTCCGGGAAACATTTAGTTTCGAGATTCCACGGATGTGCCAGGTGGCTATTCTAATAAAGGTACCTTTGAGATGATGCTTGTCTCGGAGTTACTGATGGGAATGGAGGTTTGCTGGAACGTGGACAATTAATTGCCTGTAGATCAGGGGTGTCAAACTCGCGTCATCGCGGTGTCGTCAGGTGACGTATTGGGACTTTTTTTCCCCTTCACTAAACCGGGCGGGGGGCGTGGCCGGCACATGATGCATCCGGCCTACAGGCCAGGAGTTTGACAGCCCTGCCGTAGATTAAGGGAAATCTTCCATTACCACAGGGAGCTGGTTGGGGTTCGCCTGCAGCCTGTGCGGATGGCAGCAGAATCAAGACAGTGAGGAAGAAGAGGAACCAGTCTGGGAGTCTGGGGAGGGCTCGGATGAGGGTCCTGCATCCGATACAGAAGATGGGGCCAGGACCATCTGGGAGTTATGTGCGGACTCCGGAGCCTCCAGAATCAGAGGAACGAGGGGAGCCCGTTCCCAGTGCGCGCGTGCGCAGGGCTGCCAGAAGGCAGGAGCAGCTAAGACAAAAGGGGGCAACTCGGGAATAAGGCTTGGAGGTGATTGCCCCTCCCCTAAGGGATAAAGGACAGGCAAAGGTAGGAAAACCTGTGCAGGAAGCAATGTCACTCACTCTGGACTCTGAAAGCTCCGTGGTGCATTTGTTCTGTTTGGTTTTGGAAAGACTAATGGGGACTTTAGTCGCTGGCAGCACTTCAAGTCAGATAAGGTGCGTTCTTATCAGACGTCTTTCTAAGAACTTTCGGCAGGCGTCCCTGGGACTAATTATAACCGGTTTAAAACTCAGGCGATTCTGTGAATGATGATAATTCACAGCCACTGAACTAAAATGAAAGAGTTCTGGATTTTAGATGTGTTTGTTGGTGTTTCAGGAAGCCTTGGTCAGAACAGGGGGGGGTGCCCAGCGCTAACCCTACTTCATATCGAGCTACGGAGGTTGAGATGGCCAGCTTGGTTCAAACCACCGTGCCACCGAATTCCGCCAAAGTACAACACTACCCCCACGAAGCTCAGTCAGGATTTTTTTTTTTTTAAAGAAATAGCCACTTACCACAAAAGGCGTGGGGACGTATCTTGAGAACAAGTAAACAGGAACTCCCTTCGCAAGCAGGACGGCCGCTGTCAGTCTGGCAAGCCTGTGGAAAAGAAGAAATTAAAATGCAGGAAATAAACGGCTTCCTTCTCAGGAAGCCAAAACGTTCAGCCGTGAGCAAGACTGGCAACAGGCTACGACGGGAGCTGCAAAAAAACAGCTCAGCCGTTTCTTTCATGCTGCATTACGTTTTCCCAACTTTGGCTGTGAGAAATAGTTTGGTGTTGCAGTTAAGACACCAGGCTAGATACCGAGAGATTGCGAGTTCTAATCCTGCCTTAGGCATGAAAGCCGGCTGGGTGGCTTTGGTCAAATTACCAGGAGAAGGTGAGCTCTCATCCCGTTTTATGCATGAAAGCAGCTGGGTAACTCAGTGGATTCTAGTTCCATCTTAGGCCCAAAAAGCCAGCTGGGTGACTTCGGTTATCAGGGGACTGGGAGTTCTAGTCCCACTTTAGGCACGAAGCCACCTGCCCTGGCCTCTTTCTCAGCTGTAGGAAGAAGGCAATGGCAATGGCAAAACGACCCTGCAATCTTGCCTAGAATGCAGCGGGGGCTAATCCAGGCAGCCTCTAGGAGTTTTTAAAAACACCGAGTCAAGGGCATTAAAAAAAAGGGGCCATCTTTCTCAACAGCACAAATTACTACGCAGTGCTGACTAAGGCGCCTGTCTGTTCTGGAGCTACCTAAAGTGCTGAGGGATAGAGCAAGCACAGAAACACAGGCCTGTTGGTCCAAATTTCTCTTCTGAATCGGCTTCGTGCCCGAATCAAAAGGCTTTCCATATATTACAAAATGATTTAAAGGGTATTTTTAGGCCCTGTACGTCTCTTGGATTCCAGATTTATTCAATAGGATCAACGGCAAATTCTGCAGGAGAATGTATGACAATTGTACCCAAGGTGAAAGGCTAATTCAGTTCTGCTTAAATGTTTTGTCTGCAACAAAGGATCTAGATCTAGATCTACAGCTTCTATCCCGTTGTACCCAAAACTATCCAAATTTCTCAGACCCCTTGAGAGAGAATGAAGATCTGAATCCAGTCAGGTCTACGTAAAGCATTAATTAACAGTTGTTATTACTGCTGCTTATTTGCAGAAAAAAATTGTTTATTTCCAGATCTGCTTTCCCCTTCAAACTATTTTTAGTGGCCTCTGGGAGAGAAGCGGACGCATTCTTTACTTCTAGATTTTTAAACCTGGATCAAGTCCATACCTGAAGCTGCTGCACATGCTGGTCACCTGGCCTCTTGTGTCATACCCTACCACAAAACCACGTTGCTTGAAGTCGGAAAAACATTGGCCAAGGTATTTGTACATCCCCTGCAGGAAAGGAAGAAGAGAGGGAGAACACAGTATTGTTTGCCTCAGCAGGAAACTTAAGGGAAGGTGAAGTTTATTAAGATGATTTTCTGTGGCTTAGACCAGAAGGCATCACTCTCAGATTCAGTCCAAGGAAGTGGTGGTTCCAATTGGCAATATGTATAAATTATAGGTATTACACGTTTACCGGCCTAATGCTTAAACAAGTTATTTTAGAATTCAATTTTTTCTTTAAAAAAAAAAAAAGGAAATTCAGTGCAATTTATTTTTGTAATATTTATTTTTATACCCTTCAGTGTTTTTCGGCTTTGTCAACTTTAAGATGTGTGGACTTCAACTCTCGGAATTCCTGGCTGGCTGGAGAATTCTGGGAGTTGAAGTCCACACATCTTAAAACCAACCAAGTTGAGAAATATTGCTACAGATGAACCAGGAGGTTAATAAAAAGAGGCATTTAATTCTTCCACGCCGAGCTTCCTCAGCCGGAATGATGGAGGAATCTGCCCTTGCTCCGTTGTGCTGTTTTGTTCATCAGCCTGAGAAGAAAATTTGCCATCTTTCTACGCCAGTGTATCCAGAAGTGAAATAACGTCGATTGATGTGGGTGTGGTTTTTATTGTTATTTATTTCTCAAAACTATAGAGCCACCTATCTCACACAAGGGATGCTGGGCAGCGAGTGTACGCAGTGAAAACATAAAGCGTTTTTCTTTTGAACGATAAGGAGGAATTCATATTTACATGACGTCTGGCATGGCCCAAGGTCTCTTACAACGAGGCCCCTGGATCAGCTACTATCTGAAGCTACTGATCCCCGGATCACTTTGCAAGAAAAACAAAAAAGAACTACTCTCGGTCGGTCGCTTTCACCAAGAGCCGATAAGGTGGAGATAACTGCTAAAGTAAACTTCACACTGAACAATATTTGCTGAACGGTAAATAATTTATCCTACGTGTAACAGTTCATTATATTCCCACACAATAAAGATTTCCAAAACAAACATGCCATTCCAGGCTAAAGACAGTGTACTAATTCAGATAATTCTGTTTAAGTAGATCGATA